ATAAAAAGGAAATATGTGTAATATAATTACATCAATTACATTAGAATTTAGGACATGGGTCGGAGTTATGTTTTTATAAAACTCCAATGATAAACATCAATAAATTGTATTATTGATTTTAAATTTTCTGTTATAGGTATGCTATAACTTTAAAAAATTAAGCTTTCAACACTTATTTCACGTCGTTTTAGCGAAACCCCGGGCATGGCTCGGGTAAACCGCTAGTTTTAAAGATATTTTTAATAATACAGTCGTCCCTCTCTATAGTCACCCCCTGTACAATCACATCATATAAATTCCTCATCATAAGCACACATTTCGTAAGAACCAATACCTATTTATGCTATATAAAAAAACCCCTTTATAATCACAGTGTTTTTATAGTCACACCCTTCCAGAACCAACATTTGGTAACAACATATAAAAATCCCCCTGTATAGTAACTTTTTATTATAATCTCACTTTTTATTTTTAGTCCCGAGGGGTGTGACTATAAAGGGGACGACTGTACTATACAATACGATTTTATGGTTTAATATTTATGATAGTTTGGACATGTAATTCAACTTCCAATCCATATAGTTAGACACATTTTAAGAATCGATTCCAATCCTTATTCTTTCAAAAATTTGGGTGCCTCGTTTTGAATTTGGCTACAGAGTTATTTTTTTGTTAAATTTTTTTTTTTAAGAAACAACGTCCTCCATTAGATTTTATAATCAGTTAAATCGCGATTAATCTTCGATTATTCGATTCTAATCAATTTTATTTATTGTATAGTGTAACGAACGCGGACAAAATATTTACATTTAGATGCCTAATACAGATTCAAAATTACAAAAAATTAGCAAAATGGTATGTCGGATCATTAAATACGAATCTTGAGAAACGATAGCGATTAAAATGATTCTCAATATCGAAATCGATTTCAATCTCTACTATAGCCTTCAAACTTTGCATGCGGAATAATTAAATTTGGAACGGGAAACGAAAAATTATCAATTGCAAATAATTGGAAAATCTTATTTATTTATCTCGTATATCATAAAATACAAATTAATTTACTTAAGTTAAAAAGTTAGAAAAGAAGATGAAGCAATTTGGTTATAAATTGGTGAAAACAATCGTTATACAAAACCTAGAAACAAAATAAGTTTTAACTGGTTAATTATTTAATCGGCTAATCAAAAATTTCCATTCTCCATTTCAATAAAGTTTTTATAGCAATTCGAGTTACTTCAATTCTTTCTATCAAAACATTGCAATGATATTATACTCTTGTATGTCAATTACTGTTAATAAAGGCAAGATTCTCATGGCAATTTTTCTTTTGAAATTATTTTCCGAATTATTTTCTTAATAACTAAAATACTCAATATTTGTAGATTTACCCTTTATTATTGACCGCCTCCCATATGATATGATGTGACGATACTTTGAAAATTCAGGGCAACTTAAAGCTGTAATTTGCTATTGAATTGAATCAATATTTTTATTATAATAATAATTTAAACTATAAAAGAATGTCAAAAAAATAAAGCAATTATTAAGTCAATTAGCATTAAGAAAAGAAATTCAGTGACAAGTAATTAAATGACTATATTAATTGATGTAGTAAAATAAAATATACTGTATGTTGGATTAATATAATAATGAAATTAGTCTTATAAATTTTAAAACATATCAAACATGAACAAGAATTGGGCAAGGACATTGCAAACAACCACATTTAACGCAGGTAGTTCGAATGCCATAAACACATGCGGCACCGCTAGGATTGCATTCATAGACATACCCGGCTAAGCAATTAGGATCAGGAAGTTGCTCTGAGAAAAAGAAAATCAAAAAGAGTGTAAAAGAGATGACAAGTAATGAATCGAATCAGAACATACGAAGACAATGAAATTTCAATTATTTACCACCACAGTATTGTCCTTGTTTGGTGCCTACAGGGCATCTGCAAGAAGTAGGACCGCATGAAGCGGAGGTATTAAAAACGAAGAAGAATAAAAGACCCAAGATAAAAAGAATATGAATAGATCCGTTCATTTTCATATTTATTAATTGTAATTTTTTGGTTATTGTTCTCTTTTTTGCAAGTTTAATCTTTTTAATGATTGTATCTAACTATAAGAAACAATTTTTACTAGATTATTAAAAGGTCCTTTACGATAGAAAAAGAGAAACTATCGGAACAGTCCAAATTAGTTCACACTATATAAGTTTTCGGGTTAAAAACATATATTGAGTTGAGCATTCACTAGGCAATCTCCTCTCGTAAGAACATCTATTTTTATTGGTTATGGAGTATTATAAATAGGTATCAATAACATCATGCTGCTCTCATTGCACGTGTAATTTATAGCTAAAATTTTTTGATGATCATATGAAATTTACAAACAAATTAATTCATTATGAAACCCGATCTTTAACTTTGATTTTACTCATACAAACGAACGTGTCAATAATATGTTTGCCATAAGGTTGCCTGGAAAAACCCATCGAAACCTTCTTATAATAATTTGTATTATCATGTTTATCTTCGATCGTAAAATTTTACTAGCATTCGAAGGCTCTAATTATTATAAATTTATTAATTTTTAGTAAAAAAATATTTACCTTCAAACGTGAAATCGATATTGGCAATTGAATCTTAAAATAGAATCATCCAATGAATTATAATATCTGTTTTTATTTTATCATTAGAAAATGATTCTAATATGCTACCTTCTAATTCTTCTAATGAAGAAGTTTTCTTAAATCCGAAATTCGTTCTAATGTTTTGCAAATTATTTTATTAAAAAAAAGATAAAAATTTTAAAAAAAATTTCAGGCCCAACTTTCAAATAAACTAATACAATATTTCTTTTTTATTTTTATTTTTGTATAGGTAAATGTAATTTACTTTTATCGTCAGTCATTGTTAAAAATTTAGAGAAACAAATTTTTTAAGCATTGTTTATGCATTTGTAACCCAAATGCGTTAATTTCTGAAGTGATCATTTCGGATATTCCAAAACGGGATGTCAAACGCAAAGATCGTTTGCTGTAAAAGTTTTTTTTTTTTACAATTTAATTAAAAATTTTTTAAATTTGCTAGTTTAATTAAATTTGAACTAAATTTGTTTCATTCTATTATGATTATGAATATAACGAATATAATAAAGGATATTATGGAAAAGAAATAAAGGAAGCATTTGAAGAATCAAATAAAGAGAGAGATACTAAATAGGTATGGATTTTTATGTATGGTACCAATTTATGTATGTCTTTCCATACCGGGATGACTATTCGCCACAAAAAACATACTGGTATGGAATTTTCAATTTTTTTCAATTATCTTTTAAATGATTTGAACAAAGAAAAATAATAAGTAGCGTTGGTAGTTGTTTGTTTAATTCATTATATTATAATGAGTAAAATCAGGTGTTAAGAAAATTAAAAATTAATTAAAAATTTTGCATTTATCAAATTGAAGAATTTAATTAATCAAATTAAAAAAATTTAAAAACTTTATTATTAATTTCCGAAATTTTAAAAAATCCATACATGTATGGAAATATTTGTCATACAAACCATACATTCCATACATAAAAATCCATATCATACATGATTTAATAACACCTCTCATATGGGCTAATCTATTAAAATCACCTTACGGGGATAAGAATTGATTTTGATTAAAAGAATGCTACGCCACAGTAAACATTTCCAACCAATAATGAGTCAAATTAATTAACAAGACGATACTAAAAATTTTTTGCTATTATAAAAATTATTTTACAGGACTAATTTTTGTAATACTTGAATATAATTTCGTAACACTTGAAGTTTTGCTATTAAAATCACCCTACGGAACATTGTTACATCCACCATTATTGTTGAATATTTTTTTTTTAATGGATAAAACAAGTTTTCTTAATAAAGGTTGTGAAAACTTTAATTTCCTACATGATCAATTTTGAAAATTTGAACCCGAGGCGAATGTTAAAAAAAGGAAAGATACATCAGATTTAGTTAAGAATATCTTCTAGGAAACAAAAATTTACATTCATAAAGTAAATTGCGAAACGATTTTCGAAATGTAAGGCGCAGCAAATCATTACGGTTGCAAAATTTTATTTTACTTTTAAATTTGAAGTTTTTCGCCCGGAATGTAAACTTAAAGTTTCATCTGCAACATTCTCTATAAAACTACGGAAAGAATTTATATTATATACTTACAACAAGAATAATTATTAATCTCATTAGCGAATGGTGCTAAGTGTCGGAAGCTCTCCAAAAGAAATAAGGATCGTCGGTATTCAGCGCAAAAAGAATTTCTTTATACACACACTACGTCTGACACCCAACGCCGTTATTACCAGTGTACAAACTAAACTTTAGCATATACTGGTTAATTATCTTTTATAAAAAAAATTCCGGATTTTTTAAAAAAAAAACCTTAAAGTTATCCTGCATATATTGGATTTTACTGTATTTGTTAAAATATATAAAAAATATATGAATTAGTATTCAGTTATATTGATCAATGTATAAATTATTAATATAAAAGAATTTGATAAAGATGTAAATAACAAAACCTTTTATGACAAGCAAGCGAAAAAAAAAAATGTTACATTTATTGTTCCGGCCTAAAAAAAATTCCAGCCAATAAATCCGGACAAATTTAAATTTTCCGGTTCCGGATAAATATCCGATTCTATAAAAAAATTCCGGATTTTGAAATAAAAATCCGGTAAATCCGGAATTTTTATATACTAGTAAGCTTTGAACTCTTGGTACTTCTTAACACAAAACTCCCACTTTACTCCACTTATTATTTTCTACAACCATAAGGAAGTTCCTTGTAAGAAACACTCTTCACTTTTGACCCTGTTAATTCCTGTATTTTTTGAGAAACTTTTCTTTAAACGAGGATATTAAAGGAAAAAACTAATTGGCGATTCGGGAGAATTATTTACACTACATTCTAACAGTCAACGATCAAAATTATGCGGACATTTTGATTTGTCAAAATTAGGCAGATCGATCGTTACGTGATTACAAAATTAAAACAATACGTCATTTTTTACTTATAACGATAAACAATACCCCAAACCTTTTCCTCTTTTAAATAAGTTCATGTCAAATATGAAAGTACTTACTTCCAAAACTCGTGGTGCTATTACTTATGGTTATAAATGTGGACAGTCAAGTTATACTATAGCTAAACAGCTAGGGTGCATGTCTATATTATTCTTAAACGTCTTCGCGAAACTGGTTCTTTAACACCAACTCCACCACCATCTGGTATTAAAGTACTTGAAAAGTATGTAAAGGATGCATGGAAAAATTTTCATCCGGAATATTAAAAACTGATCGATAGCTGCCGCGGCGAGTTGCCGCAATTGGAAATAGGATTAATTATTAAATTTTTTTATAAATCAATAAATAAAGATATATTTGAATTTATTTTGTTAAAATTTTATTTTTATTATATTATGTGTGTATAATTTTTTTTGATTTTAAAAATGTCCGCATAATTTTGGTCGTTGACTGTAGATGTGCAATTTATATTGTGACCATTGTTATCTGATGACATCTCTATAAAGTCCAATACAATACACATTAATTAAGTTCCATTTCATAAAATTTCAATCAAATATTCGACTTAATAATGTGTTTTCATGGGTTATTAAAGTTTTTTTTTGTTGTTAGCTACACTAATTTATTCGAGAGAGTGTTGCCCTATAGCAGTAGTTCCCTTTTTTGGCTAGGGTTCTTTATATAATTAATTCGAAAATCCATAATTGTGAACGCTATTTGATTGAATATTTTTTTTGTTCCGTTTATAAGTCAATTCCACCTTTTTTTGACTGGTAAATTTGGAGTCATATTACAAAGGTTGCCTTAACTTATTAACAAAATTTTCAATCCCTTTTTACATTTAGCTTGAAAAAGAACTATATCATCTATAGTTGCTAATTTTTTTGTTTACGCTTGCTAAATTTGAAATACTTTCCATTTCGAACGGTTCTGTCTTCGTATCACCTTACGTATCCACTCGGTAAATTATTATGTCGGTGCTGCTATATTATATCGGTGCGATGTAAAGCATCTGACCATTGTACTTTAGTTATAATTCACAGTTAATGATTAATTGCCTGCGGTACTGTCACAAAATTCAATATTATTATTCTATTAACAGTCTAATGAAATAAGTTTACCGAGATCAAACGTTCAATTTCTTGTTCAAGTTCCATAATAACTTTGTGGGTTTTTCTTGAAAGTATGCCAAGTCCCGTAAAGTAAGATCAAAAATCTAGATAATTTCAACAATATTATCACGAAGAAGGTTGAAGCTTTAAAAAAATGATGACCTTCAAGATCTCATCTTCACCTTTGAAGGTCAACCAACTTTTACCAATCATTCACATTCAAACAAAAACAATATAATAACCGACAGCAAGCCATTAAATGTATGATACCCGTTGTCTGATTTGAGCAGTAAGTACTTTCATTTTTCCTTTACTATAATTACTAGTACTAATTTTTTTCTCTCTGCAGTTAAAGTGAATCTTAAACGTATGCACGACAGAAAGGAGGAGCACAATCTTAAAACGCACCAGTGGTTCTTTCAAATCGAATTTTGAGGGTTTAGATGATAATGAGCTGAAAAAATTGAGAACGCGTTCAATTTGCAATAGGATCAAAATGAATTTGAAGATCTAATCAGAATAATCAGAAACAAAGAAAACTTATGTAGATTTAAAGGTCGAAAAAATATTTTAAAAACATTTACCACTATCCCTATGATTACTGGTTTTCCTGAACGGTGACAAAAGGTTTCAATATGGAAAGTCTTACATAAATATCTCGAATGCTTAGTGATAAACAAATGTACAAGTTTTGTTGAACAACTTAAGGATAAAATTTACGTATCGTCAATGTTGCAGAGTTCTCCAATGCACGGTCTCGTTTATTCAAAAATAAGTTCACGCTCTTGAGGTCTATATAATCAAATTGAATCAATTAATTAAACTAAATTAAAAATTATGAATGAAAAAAAATAATGATAAATTATTTATTCACTTTAATGTTCAATTCTACCCATAGAACTAGTTATTTGGTATCTGACTTCCCGGTTGTCTTGAGTCTATTTGCTAGTCCAGTGGGCGGTATATTTATCGGTGTGGGTATATCCTTTTCCACAATAAGTTCGTCAGCTTTACATCCAACGTAACAATACTAAGAAAAATGTTAGTGACAATAACTTAACTGTAATTTTTTTGATTATGAAGGATAAACCTTAACAAACCAAAAAACCCTTACCTCCGTCCTTTGATTCAGTGTTTATCATATAGTTAGGAAGAAAAAA